GGGACACTATCTAGCAAGGCCAGTTTCAGAGGGCAATTTAGTTAAGGTCTCTTTTTACGATTTTGTTTATTTTCTCTACTTGCCCTGAGCTCTGGGGACAGTATGAACAATGGAGCTTCCAATCAGTCCCCAATATCTCTGACAATCTCTGACTTAGCTTAGAAACAAAAGCAAGACCCGTTACCTGATTCAATTACCTTGAAATCTCGGGAAGATTTATCTATATTTTTCTGGCCTAAGTTTTGCAAAATTTGTCTCTCAATATATTCTAGGATGTCCCTTGTAGGTATTTTTCCTGTTAACTCTAAGCCTCATAAGCCTCTGCTTGCTGGCATACCTTACACTGTTTTACTATCTCTCTGGCCCAAAACCTGAAGTCCATTATATACCTTACGTCTCTTAACTGCTTGGATGTACTAATTTTTCAGAGGGCCATCTGTGCATTTAGCCTAGTAAGTCTTGTTTGCTTTCTGGGGAGTATAGTTCCCCCTTCTTGTGTGCACCATTGCCCCTTTTTCTCTAGGTAATACTTGACAGGGTGGCTAGCAATCTGAGTCCTTTTTTCTTCTGTATGTTTTAAGTGAGGCCATCTCTTAGTCTAGTCTCAGTCTCCAGCGGGTGTCTCTTGTAGGCCCATAACCAGGACAGGCTCCTGTATAGTCACTTCTCAGTCCACTTGATCTGTCTGGTTATCACCTCAGGCCACTGAGTCTCCTCCCGGCTGGTGTCTAAGGCAACGAATACTCACAGTTGCTGCTGCCTAGCCAAATCTTACCATGTTTTCACCATCCTCCCTTCCCAAAAGGTAACCCTAACTGCCATTATGGACTTGGGGCAACAACTAGACTGGCTTCTCCCAGATGAATGGGGGTGTCAGGTGCAGCAGTCAGGGTACTCCTCCAGTGGGCCTATCTAAAAGGCCCCAAAAATGCATCCATAGTTTTGTCATATACCAGTCAGGAACTCTTGTTTCTCTTCCAGACTGGAGCAGACACCTATGCCAAACATGTTTGGAGGCGGGCCATTGAAGAAGGCATTGGAGCTACTGGCAGATGAGGTATGGGGGGAACCTTACATGCTCCAGGCCAGCTATGGAGGAAGAGCAGAAAGAGGGTGGAGAAGAAGCTGTAGAGTAATGAATGACCACTGTGTCAGTAAGGTCTCTGTCCCTCCTCCCCTCCTCCCAGCGAGCAGCTGAGCCAAGAAGGGGCTTGTTGTCTGAAGCTCATGGGACATAGCTGAGGCCCTACAGCCTAACATACCCAAGTCCCTTGAGAGCTAACTCCACCTCATCCTTGAGGATGCTGAATAGTTCTAAATAGTCAGATATACCAGGTGGGAACATGCCTCATTCCGGCTTCATGCAGACTGAACCAGCTGACCTCAGTGGGGACTTGAGCTCTGAGGGCCATGAGGTAGGCCTGAAGTAGAGAGACTCAGGTTTGACAGCAGCGTCCCTGCTCTGCTGACCCCTTCCTCCTGCTAACCTTCCTTCCCTTTCAGTTTTCCTTCCCTACCAATATAGTCTCGAGAAACCTGTGGCTATTTATCCCATTGTGAATAGGTTTATATTGCATATATTACATATATATTATGTATTATTTCGTCCCATTGTGAGCAGGTAATATATTACGTTTACTCCTCTCCGTCTCTCACCTCAAATACCTGCTCCCAAGCCCGTTTCTTGGCTTACCTGTCCTGACTAGTCACCCCTCAGCCACAGACACTTTGTGTTATTAACGTATCGCTCATCTCTCTCTTGGGATTGAAGATCTCCAAGGTTTAAGAAAGACAGTGAAATTCCAAACTTTCCTTTCTCTCCACTGCACAGTTCCTCCTGATGTCTAACCATGGCCTTTTTGGTTCAGGCTAATGGAGAGGAATCAGCTGCAGACTACAAACAGCTGTGAGCTCTGGATTTGCTGAAAGCTGATTGTGAACCAGTCTGGCTGATTTGATTGTTCCCTGTCTCTTCAGCTGGGTCAGCTAACCAGCTGCTGCTAATAAATGCCCCATTGCCTGAATCCCCTCCTAGCTTTTAACCAGCGTTCCAGTCTTCCTGGGCCCTGACAACTGCCTCCTAAGGTCAGCAATAGCTAAGAGCCATATATCGCCCTATATCTTTAACTAGCTAGAATAATTAGGTCAAAAGAAAATTCCCTGGCATAGAGGACAAAATGACTACCTATAGTATCCATCAGCATACCAGGAAAGGCGCCCGTGGAAAAACCCAATAGGCCCAGATCTATCAACAGGTAGAGTCATTAGCTGAAATAGTTCTACAATATGACAAGGCACTTGACCTCCTTTATGCAAGGTATTATGTGTCTATAAGAAAAAAAAATGTTGCTGGGCAGTAGTGGCACACGCCTTTAATTCCAGCACTTGGGAGGCAGAGGCAGGCAGATTTCTGAGTTCAAGGCCAGCCTGGTCTACAGAGTAAGTTCCAGGACAGCCAGGACTGCACAGAGAAACTCTGTCTCAAAAAACCAAAAAAAAAAAAAAAAAGAAAAAAGAAAAATGTTGTTTCTATATAAATCTCTTAGGAATCATTAGAAATAATCTGGCTGTATTAAGAAAGCATTGCAAAAAGGAGGGGGGTGGCTGATATGAAATAAAAGACTTGTCCTCAGTCTCATCTCCAGGCTCCTCCTGGGTAGTAATGGATGTCAGCCATTGCAGGGCCTTTGACCCTTCTATCTCTGTTAAGAGCTGTTGGCTCTTGCATCATTAATCTCTTAACTAGATAAATCCTACCATTAAGCTGACGGTTATTAGATCCCAGTATAAACAAGTACCCATATTGATCGGAGTCAAGGATTTCATTCAGGATACAACTCCAGAGGGGGGAATGTGAGAACCAGTTATGTTTTCATTTTTGTATCTAAGAGATCCATGAAACAAAAATGCCTCTAACCTGTAAGACCCTTGCTCTGGGAGAGATACTTCTGAAAATGCTGGAGGCCAGTGTCTGTGTTTTCACTCCCCTAAACTGGTTTGTTTGGCCCAACTGTGCCAGATATGCTGGATCACATGTAGGTGGAAGGTACATGGTTAAGGATTATGGCAGAATGTATGCCTGCCACGTTTGAATGTAGCCCTAATTAAAGTCACTGGAACACACAAATGAGCGTGTGTGACACACACACACCCTAAACCAAGACTACTTGGGACAAGAGGTGATCAGTGGCTCTGTGTGTGTGTGTGTGTGTGTGTGTGTGTGTGTGTGTGAGAGAGAGAGAGAGAGAGAGAGAGAGAGAGAGAGAGAGAGAGAGAGAGAGACAGAGAGGAAGAGGGAGAGGGAGAGAGAAGAGGGTAGAGGGTGTTAGATGTAAACTTGATCAAAATATATTATATACATGAATAACGTGTACTTATGAAGCCTGTCTGATGCTGTCTAGAGCACAGGACTGTGTTTCGTTTTCTCTGTAAATTAAAGAATTAAAAGGAAGACCTTTATAGCTGGACCACGGTGGTGCACACCTTTAATCTCATCACTTGGGAGGCAGAGACAGGCAGATTTCTGAGTTCAAGGCCAGCCTGGTCTACAGAGTGAGTGCCAGGACAGCCAAGGCTACAAAAAGAAACCCTGTCTTGAAAAACAAAAACAAAAAACAAAAAACAAAAACAAAAAAAAAAAAGGAAGACCTTTTTTGGTGTCTCAGCAGGACCGTCATATTACAACTGGATAATCAGAGTCCCCTCTTGGGGTTCTTGGTGTCATTAATAAAAGAATTTAAGAGCCATCAGGAATGGAAGCTTGAGGACAGAGAAAATACTCAAACAGGAACATGGGGACAATTTGTTGGAGTTTAAAAGGAAAACTCCAGGGCAGGCAAGCTTAAATCTCAAAGCTTTGGGGAAGGGACCTGTCATACTGGATTAATTCTTTATTTTTTTAATTGGTTATTTTATTTATTTACATTTCAGATTTCAAATGTTGTCCTCCAGCTTCCAGGTCTCCCCTCCCACTGATGCCAGATAAGGCCATCCTCTGCTACACAAGTAGCTGGAGCCATGGACCCGTCCATGTGTACTATGTGGTTGGTGGTTTAGTCTCTGGGAGCTCTGGGAGATCCGGTTAGTTGATACTGTTGTTCTTCCCATAAGGTTGCAATCCCTTCAGCTCCTTCAGTCCTTCCCCTGACTCTTCCACTGGGGTCCCCGGGCTCAGTCTGATGGTTGGCTGTGAGTACCTCCATCTGTATTAGTCAGGTGTTGGCACAGCCTCTCAGGGGACAGCTATACCAGGCTGCTGTCAGCAAGCACTTCTTGACATCAGCGATAGTGTCAGGGTTTTGTGTCTGCAGATGGGATGGATGGATGGATCGATCCCTAGGTGGGGAGGTCCCTGGATGGCCTTTCCTTCAGTCTCTACTCCAATTTTTGTCCCTGCGTTTCCTTTAGACAGGAACAATCTGGATTAAAATTTTTGAGATGGGTGAGCTGCCCCAACCCTCAACTAGGGGCCATACCTACCTACTGGAGGTGGTCTCTACAGGTTCTATCTCCCCTTTGTTGGGTATTTCATCCCCGCCGAGTTCTCTTGTTTCCCTGGCGTCTGGGACTTTTTAGTGGCTACTCCCAGTTCCCCACCGCCTACTGCTTACATATTTCTATTCACCCCCCGCCCCCAGGAGGACACAAGGACACATTAGCATGCTAAGAAAAGGTTCAAGACAGGAACAAACTCTCCGGAGCTGGTATGTCAAAACACTACCTATCAACAGACACTCTGTTGTAGTTTACGATGAAATTAAAGCCGTAACCCACCGAGTTCACACACACACACACACACACACCCTTTGGCTCTCATACAGTAAATGCCAGAACAAGAGCTGGCTAGTCCGGACCTTTGCCTAGAGGGCAGTATCGCAAGGGCGGGTCGCTCTATTGATTGGTCGGCTGCTATCCAGGCCAATCGATGATTGGTCAGCAGCGAGTCAGGCTTTAGGCTTTTAAGTCCAAACTCCAACCTGACTGGCGGTGCCTCAGGAGAGACATGGCTGAGCCACTTGTTGGCTTGCCCGCCTGGGCAGCTGCGTTCCTTTTCTTTTACGCTACCGTGTCCGGATCCACTGGCCCTTGGAGCAGGGAAAATCCGGGGCCGTCGCGGATCCCTTCCCAGTTCAGCGAGGAGGAGCGCGTCGCTATGAAAGAGGCGCTGAAAGGTGAACCTCCGCCCCCTTGTGCTCAGACGTGAGTCCCTCAGTCTCCAGTCAGCCTGAGGCTGTCTCCCTCTGCAGAGGGACTACTCGCTGCTCTGACTGGAGTGCCACCCGCCACACATCAGATGGGCCCAGCCAGCGTTCCCGCACGCGTTTGGGACACCTTGCCCTGGTCTAACGCCACTGGCGTCGATACTCCCTTGCCTAGCCTGGAGGCTTCAGCTTCCCTCCTCTCAACATTGTTGACACCCACCCTACCCTCGCCAGCCTCCGACAAGTATTTGTAGTACTTTCAACTCTAAATCTTTTAACCTTTTTGTTGTTGTTGTTGTTGTTGTTTTGTTTTTTTCGAGACAGGGTTTCCTCTGTGTAGTCCTGGCTGTCCTGGAACTCACTCTGTAGACCAGGCTGGCCTCGAACTCAGAAATCCGCCTGCCTCTGCTTCCCAAGTGCTGGGATTAAAGGCGTGCGCCACCACTGCTCGGCTATCTTTTAACCTTTTAAATCCCTACGGTGCCTTAAAACAAAACTTATTAGCTTCATTAAATGATCTTCCCTGGGGCTCCGGCAAGGACTAAGCTCTAGATAACATTTTGGAGTCAGTAGTACTCGCTGGTTCTAAAGAGAATTATTCCTGGGGTGTAATATGTAACCAGTTCTCCCCTAAAAAATGAGGGTTTAACAAGGCAACTAACTCATTGGTCTTTCAGGAGAAAAGAACATTTGTGTAGGCTCGTGGGATGCCTTGTGACACTGGGCTCAACTTCTCTTTTCTGTTCATTAAGTAGTGGGTTAATAAACTGCCTTCACAAACATATGCAGGCCGACACAGGGACCAAATGTTAACCCACAGTGGGAGATGAATTGTGCATATAGTGGAGTGAGATGCCTGGGAATAGTTTTCCCAGAGTATTGCGCAAATAGCCCTCTGCAAGCTGGTGGGTTACCATCATCCATCCATCCATCTATCTATCTATCTATCTATCTATCTATCTATCTATCTATCTATCTTTCTCTTTCTTTCTTTCTTTCTTTCTTTCTTTCTCTCTCTCTCTGCCTCTCTCTCTCTTTCTTTCTTTTTCTTATACTTTCTTCTTCTCTTCCTCCTCCTCTTCTTCCTCCTCCCCCTTTTCTTCCTCCTCCTCCTCCTCCTCCTTTTTGGTTTTGGTTTCATCTTCTATTTGGGACAGTTTCCTGCTCCTCCAAGGTACTGGGTTTACAGCTGTCACCACCACATTCAGCTCTGGTTTCAGACTTTTTATCAGAAACACGAAAACCTTTATCAACTTTAATCCTCCATCTCTGACTGCTAAATCCCAACAGGTGCCATCCAGATTCCCACAGTGTCTTTCAGCCATGAGGAATCCAACACCACAGCCCTTGCTGAGTTTGGAGAATATATCCGCAAAGGTCAGCTACAAACTAAGGGTGGCAGACATACATTGGAGACTTTCTCCTTGACAAGCAATAAGGAAATATATTTTGTCATTAATAGAAGACAGTCACCTTCTCTGGGGTTGCCTTTTACTTTGTACATAGAACATATAAAAGGGTGAATCCAAACATTACACAGTGGAGGGCAAGGTGAGGACTATACATTAGCCTTTGAAGAACTAAGAACTGGGAACTGTGGGTTGGGAGTTTGATTCGCCAACCTTTTCCCTAAATATGTATCAGTTAATGAACTCTGTCATTAACAGGTGACACGCGGGATTCATTCACTCTCTTGTGCAAATGTCTAGAACTCTGTCCCAGCATTTCCACCCTGACTACCGTATACATTCATACGGCTTTCAGGTGCTCCACCTAGTGGGCTCCTTTTACAGTAGTTATTAACACGTTCCTAAGGCCTGCCAGCAATGTGAATAATGTGCCCTGAGAGCATCCGTACCTGCATACAGAACATGGCTGGACAGAGCAGTTTGTATCTCCACAAAACACAGAGTGGAAATGCTCTTTTCTTTCTTCGTTACACCATCATTTCTAATAGCCTAAAATGGAAACAACCCACATATTCATCACTACACAAATGGCCAATTAAAGCATGCGTAGTACAGGTGCTGGAAAGATGATGGCTCGGTGGTTAATAGTACTTACCTGGGTTCAATTCCCAGCATCCACATGGTGACTCACCGCACCTGTACCTCCAGTTCCGGGGGATCCAACACCTCTTCCACTCTTCGAGAGCACTAGGCACACACATGGTACGCCGACATACAATCAGGCAAAGCAAACATTTTTTAAAATAAGTAACAATAATAAATGAAAAATATTAAACACAACTGTCCATACCCATGGGTTTTATACATGTGGATACAATCAATCTTTGATTGAAAATATTAAAAAGAAGCTAGACATAGTGGCTCACACCTGTAATCCCAGAACTTGGAAGGCTGAGGCAGGAGGATCATGGATTTCTAGACTTTGTGGTGAGAGACTGTCCCAAAACAAAACATAAACCTAAAAACTTGCTGTGCTGGATAGTTTAATGTCAACTTGACACAAGCTAAAGTCATGAAGAGACGAGAGCCTCAAGAAAATGCTCCGTAAGATTGGGCTGTAGACAAGCCTTTGGGGCATTTTTCTTAGTGATTGATGGGAGAGGGCCAAGTCCATTGTGGGTGGTGCCACTCCTCAGCTGCTAGTCCTGGATTCTATCAGAAAGCAGGCTGAGCAAGCCAGTAAGCAGCACTCCTCCATGGCCTCTGCATCAGCTCCTGCCTCCAGGTTTTGACCCTTTTGGAGTTCCTGTCCTGACTTCCTTCAATAATGAACAGTGGTAAAAGAAATGTGAGCCAATTAAACCCTTTCCTCCTCCATTTTGCTTTGTTCACAGTGTTTCATCATAGCAACAGTAACCCTAAGACACTTGCACATGTCTCTGTCTCTCTGTCTGCCCCACCCCCATCTGTTCTGTTTTGGGGGCAGGGTATTATTGTGTGGCTCCATCTAGCCTTCAACTAAGGTCCTCTTTCCTTGGCTTCCTGAGTCCTGGGACTGCAGGCACATGCCCATGAAGTTTTCCCAAAAGAAAAAGATCTTAGAATTTTGTACATAGTGATCATGTTTACCTCTGAGTAATTTGGATATTAGAAACTATTACATTCATATTTAACACAACCCTCATCTGCAAAGCTGTTGTCTGATAGCATGTTGGGCTAGAATGAGTCAGATCTTGAGTTATTACCCGTAGTTTGTGTGTATGTGTTTTGCCTGCATGTTTGTCTATGCACTATGTATGCACACACTCTTCAGAGGCTAAAGGAGGGCATCAGATTCCCTGGAACTGGATTTACAGATGGTTGTGGGTCACCATATGGATGCTGGGAACTGAACCTGGGTCCTCTACAAGAGCAACTAATACTCTTAACCTCTGAGCCATCTCTCCAACCCTAATATTTAATGGTACAGTTTTAAATAGCATATTAAAATAGGAAGGGTTTGATTCTGGAAGGAATGTGTGTGTGTGTGTGTACAGTTTATTGCATATATATGCATATATATACATATATAATACATTATATACATATATATTAAAATATATGCACATATATGGAAGAGGAATTTTAGAAATTGAATAGACAGATCAGAATTTAGATCTCTAAGGGGCAGTCATTCAAAAAAAATACAGAGAGAAAGAAGAAAAGACTTGGGAACAGGAAATGGTAGGGAAACAGAAGGAAACCACCTTGTGGCCCAGTCTTGCTTACTTCTTCCTTGCTTCTCATCCCTCCTCCTCAAGCCTTTCCTAGAGTGTTCCACAGCAGCCTTGTCCAACATGAAGTCGTGGGAAAGTATAGCTACCTGTTCGCCGTCCAAGGCTCAGACCCCAGTTTGCAGCCCTACATGCTGATGGCACACTTTGATGTGGTTCCTGCTTCTGAAGAAGGATGGGAGGTGCCCCCATTCTCAGGCCTGGAGCGCAATGGCTTCATCCATGGCCGAGGCACACTGGACAACAAAAACTCTGTGATGGTCTGGACTGCTATGCTTACTGTCTGACTTAGGGCCCAGGGGTAAATCGGGATGGGAGAATTCAGCTGGTGTGGGTGAGGAAGGAAGTTGTGTTGAAAGAATTGGTGGTAGGAGGCATGGATGGTAGTTACCAGTTTTTTACACCATTTTTCTGAACCTTGATTTCTCAATCACATAGGAATTGGGGGAAGATGACCCCCTGCACAGGGGCCCTTTCAGTAGACCTTGATAAACAGATGCTTTTCTTGGGTGGGGGGTTTCTACAGAGCTCTGATCACCTGAATTGGTTCTCTTGAAAGCCAGTCTATCAGATCTTAGTTCCACCATCCCGTGGAATGCCTCTGACACCCAACTTAGACAGTGAGCGTTCCTCTTCTTCTGAATCCTAGGCGATTCTGCAGGCTTTGGAGCTCCTGCTGATTAGAAACTACAGCCCCAAAAGATCTTTCTTCATAGCTTTGGGCCATGATGAGGAGGTAAGCCGCCTTACACAGTACCTGTCTCGGGGCCCCTTCTGGAGGCGGGGTGCTTTACCCTGATCCAGTATGCCCATCAGCTGCAGGGGTTCCATGAAATGTTGTAGCCATTTGCCAGTTTCTCTGTGTGTCTGTGTGCCAGAATAAAACTCTTGCTAATATCTAAAGCAAACAGAGAACCTGGCAGTTCTACCCCAGGAAACCTAAGTACAAAAGAAAAAGGGCTGAGTATTTTCTTTGCAGTGATGCCACTGGCTTTAAACCTGGATGACTGATCCACTTTCTAGGTCCCAGTTTCATTTCTGACATTAGTAGGGCCCAGAAAGACTCTCACACTGAACAGTTCTGCAACCATCTCAGGCCCTGCCCCACATAGTAAGACTAGGAAGGAAGGTTCTGGAGTGACAAGTGAATCTGCGTTCGCTGTCTATATGTCTGTTTCTGGCTGAGAAAGACTCTGGCTTTGGGTCTCCTGTCTACAGGTGTCTGGGACAAAGGGCGCTCAGCAGATCTCAGCAATCTTACAGGCAAGAGGTGTCCAGCTAGCCTTCCTTGTAGATGAAGGGAGCTTTATCTTGGAAGACTTCATTCCGAACCTCAAGAAGCCGGTTGCCATGTAAGTGGAGCATCCCCACCCTCCACCCTTTGAAGAGTTACCACTCTGAGGTAAATCCAGCCTGCCATCTGTAAGGCACACTCAGGTATCTGTCGTACCACTCCCTCTCCTTTTCATCACGTCCTGGGCTGCTTCTTGATTTTTTTTTCCAAAGCAGCAAAGAAGCTGACTTCCCAGACCACCAGACCTTCATACAGGTGGACCTGTGGGTCTTCGGATAACTCGGCGGGGAGACGGTCTGAGGACTCACTTCAGATCCTCTCCCACAGGATTTCAGTCACCGAGAAGGGTGCCCTTGACCTCTTGCTGCAAGTAAACATGACTCCAGGCCACTCTTCAGCTCCCCCAAAGGAGACAAGCATTGGCATCCTTTCTGCCGCTCTCAGCCGGTAAGCAGCTCCTGGCTCTGCTCCCAGCACGGCCTTGGATGGAAGACCAGGCACTTTCCCACTCTGAGACTGAAGAGCCAGCCTGTGTTTCCTGCCCTAAAGTTGGTCTGGGGAAAAGAGGTGCAGGCTACAGGCGGAACAAAGCCACCAATACCAAAAACAGTCCTGGGATCAAAAAAATCTATCAGTACAACTAGAGGGCATGCAGGAGCCAGTAGACAAAAACCAAGCCAAAGCCCTTAGCCTGGTAGGCCAGAGCCTAGCCAAGCAGTTGGCAGTGAACAGTAAAGCTGTCTAAATTCTCCTGTTGTTCTGGCAAGAGGACCAAGATAAATAAGGGGCACTGACTATGGATGAAGAATCAGGGTTTGCAAGAGCAACATTACCTGTGTCTAAGTTCTCTTAGCAAAGTAAAAAGAAAGTGTGCTGTCTAGTTTGCTCAATTTGCCACAAGCTAGAGACACTGGAGAGGAGGAAGCCTCAGTTGAGAAAGTGCCTCCATAAGAGCCAGTTGTATCAAAACCAGTAGGACATTTTCTTAATTAGTGGTTGATGTGAGAAGACCCCCTCCCCCCAATTTGGGGTGGTATTACCCCTGGCTGGGCTGGTGCTCCTGGGTGCTATAAGAAAGCAGACTGAGCAAGCCATGTAAAGCAAGCTAGTAAGCAGCACCCCTCCATGGTCTCTGTATCAGCTCCTGCCTCCAGGTTCCTGCCCCGTTTGCCTTCCTATCCTGATTTCCTTCAATGATGGACAGTGATGTGGAAGTGTAAGCCAGATTAACTCTTTCCTCCCCAAATTGCTTTTGATCAGGGTGTTTCATCACAACAATAGTTAACCCTAACCAGAGAGAGCTGTGTTCATCAGAGAGTGAATGAATAGCCACCATTTATCAAGGCTTTGTGTCAGGGAATTTAGCCAGAGAGAGAGGGAGAG